ATTCTAGTTTTTATTTGGTTGCAAGACTGTCAATTTAGGGTAAATTGGTTTTATGTTTTAATCATCAGTTTTTTTTTAAAAACTCATTTCATGGATAGAGATGTGATCAAACTTGGTTGTTGGTTCCTTATATGCTCCAGTAAATGTCAGAATGAGAGGATTTTATTTGGTTATTAAATTTGTTATTATATAGTCTTTTTTTTTTCCTTTTTTTTTTTTTTGAATCTAGCTTCTTCTTGTTCATTATCTGATTATCTCTCTCTCTCTCTCTCTCTCTCTCTCTCTCCTACCCTACATACATGATCTATATAGCCTCAGATCTGTTGGATTTTTAAATGATAGTAGGAATTCTGTTGGATTTGAACACAGATCCAACACAGATCTGTAGGAATTCTTTTTTTTTTTTTTTCTTCGCTCTCATATTTTTTGTTATTTAGATTCTTTTTCTTGTTCTTGACTCAAATCTATTTGTTTTTGTTTTTGTTGTTGTTGTTGTTGTTGTTGATGAAGAAGAAACATATTTAATTTACACAGATAACACAATAACAATTGCACAAATTTAATTTTCTTAAACATATTCAATTTTTTTTAACAGATCAGACATCCAATAGATAAAAATATTGAACAGATAAAACAAATGAACAAATAGGTTCAACAGATAAGAAAAAATAGGGGAAAAAATTGAACAGATAATAAAATTTGGACAGATATATTTAAACAAACAAGGGAAAAATTGAACAAAGAGATAATTTTAACAGATAATTTCAATAGATAAGGGAAAAACATTGAACACATAGGGGAAAAAAAAATTGAACAGATCGGGAAAAAAATTCAAACAGATAGAAAATAATTTGAACAGATAATCAAGAAAAAGTCAAGAGAAAGTTAAAAGTCAACAAATCAATAGGGGGTAAAATTGAAAAGAAAATGTCCTTCAAAACCAACAAAAAGACTTCTCACCAAACTATTTTACAAAGAGTGGACCTCTCACTAACAAAAAATATCCATTAGATCTAATGCTTTATACCTTCTTTAGCTTAGACTTTTCAACAATTATCTCTAAAAATAATCACAAGAATTATGTGGGTCCCAATAGTGCTATGTGGCGTAATTATGGATTATCACGTGTATAGCAGTTGTCCAATCGTCATCAAATACTGTATTAGTGTTTTATATTACGCGAAACTCATCAGGTATATAGGAGTCCTAAACAACTGGAGATTGTTTGAGATAGGTCTTCTGGATCATTCAAACTACTTGCTAAGCAAGTCACTGGATATTATAAATAGGCGATACCCACATAGGTTGAGGTATGCTATTTCTCTGTGAATTTATCCATTAAATATTGTTGATGATATTAGACTAACTTGGGCGTCGGAGTACCTTCGGGGAGCTTTATCTTGTAAATGATGATCAAATAGAGGTTTAGGGGTTAGGGTTTAGGGTTTAGGGTTTAGGGTTCAACAGCTGGGGGAGCTATATCTTGTAAATGATGATCAAATGGAGATTTTGATCATCTTTTTCGTTGGATCTCTTCGTCAACAAGTAGATGATTTTTTTTTGTGTCCGTACAATTGGCGCGCTATCTATGGGAACGATTGTATCCAACGAAGAAGAAAAATTATTATTATGTCCCATGAGGAAAATCTTATTTATTTTTCTAGAGACAAGCTAGTATTGGATGTATGATTACACTCTTCAAGGTGATATTCATGAGAGTATGATTTCAAGGCAATAGGGCAACAGTGGCCACGTCGTTTGTCTTGATATATTCATGAATTGAATATCTTCTGCCAATTGTTTCCCAATCTTGCAAACATGATCATGCAAATCACTTTTCGTCCATGACACAGCTAGTAAAGGCAGCAATGTGGAGGATCATTGGGTGTGTTTCACTCAATGCTAAGTAGTTACAATGCTCTTCTAGATAAGGAAGTGCCTTCACCACATGGATCATCAACAACACATGGTGGATCAATGGCCTCAGCTACACTTTGTACAAAGTAGAACGATGCAACAGATCTTGTGAAAAACAACGGAAACTCTCAGGTTTTTCATTGGTCACTTGTGACAGTGAATTACTTGGTAGACTGCTCAAAATAATGCATAACTCAATTATTTCATTGCTCAGCAACAAGCACCGTAGTAATCACAACCTGCTTCGCAAATATTATATATGTTATTATTTTGAGCGTGGAGATATTTATATCGTTTATTATCCTGGATTTTTGTTATTTGTGGAGCATGAATTTTATGGATTATTACTCCGCGCATGAAGATATTTTATTTCATATTGTGCTGGACTTCTGTTATTTATTTATGAAGTAAGGATTTTATGCATTAGGTTGGAGATATTATTAGCAGTTATTATATCGTATTTTTATTATCTGTGGAGCACAGAGTTTATGCCCTATTATTCCGACCACGAAGATATTATCTGAAGAACATGAATTTTTATACCGAACATGGATGAAGACCGTTATTTTGGTCAAATATGCCACCGAACCAGGATGGAGAGAGTTATTTTGGTCAGATATGCCACTAAACTTGGATAGAGACTGCTATTTTGGTCAAATATGCCATCAAATTGAGATAAAGTCTACATTTGGTGGATCACAAGGGCAAGATGAATTACGCTACCCGTTGGTTAAATATTTTCTCTCCTTGCAAAGCTCATTTTGCTCGCTAACAAGCAAGTTGGTGGTTTGTCCAACTTTGGGATTCCTTGCCAACCGAATTTTGCTCGCCAAGAAGGTAGTTGGTGGTTTGTCCAGCTCTAGGATTCCTTGCCGAGCAGATTTTGCTCGCCAAGAAGCAAGTTGGTGGTTTGTCCAACTCTAAGATTCCTTACCAAGCGGATTTTGCTCGCTAAGAAGCAAATTGGTGGTTTGTCCAACTCTAACAGTCCTTGCCAAGCAGATTTTGCTTGCCAAAAAGCAAGTTGGTGGTTTGTCCAATTCTGAGATTCCTTGCCAAACGGATTTTGCTCGCTAAGAAGCGAGTCGGTGGTTTGTCTAACTCCAGAATTCCTTGCCGAGCGGATTTTGCTCATTGAGAAACAAGTTGGTGTTTTGGTAGTTCCTAGCTGGGCTAGGCACTCTTTGGAATAAGTCCTAGCAAAGTTAGGCATTCTTGGGATAAGTCCTAACGACAATAGGATTCTTGGAATAAGTCCTAATGACGTTAGGCATTCTTGAAATAAGTCTTAGCAAGGCTAGGCATTTTCGGAATAAGTCCTAACGAGGTTAGGCATTCTTGGAATAAGTTCTAGCAGGGTTAGGCATTTTCAAAATAAGTTATAACAAGATTAGGTATTATTGGAATAAGCCCTAACGTCTGTATATCATTCTAGGTAGGCAATATTACATATTTTTATCGAAATAATAACAAAAAGCTTTCATTCTTGCACTGGGCTCAAAGAGAATGAAAGCTTCGGGGCAATTGAGAGAGAATAAAAATAATCACAAGAATTATGTGGGTTCTAACAATGCCACGTGGCGTAATTATGGATTATCACTTGTATGGCAATTGTCAAATCCTCATCAAACACTATATTGGTGTTTTATGTTATGCAAAACTCATCAGGAGATGAAATCTCATCAATATAGGAGTCTTAAATATCTAGAAATTGTTTGGAATCGGACTTATGAAACATGCAAAACATGTCTTACTTTTTAAACTTTTTTAAAGATCAAGACACTCTTTGAACATTTGGAGGACACATGTATCAATCACTTAAACACACGTGTCTATCGATTAGACATATGTGAACTAATTATAAGTTTGAACAAAACAACTTAAGATACAATAACAAACCAAAAACCATATAAATTTATAGGAATTAGTGTTATATTGTATTTTTTATTATCTTTGAATGATATATTCATATATAACATATAATAAATATATAAAATTATATATTTCACGTGTCATGTTCTACATTTTTTGAAAATTAATGTGTCGGCGTGTCCGTGTCGTATTCATATCGTGTCACGTGTCTGTGTCCATGCTTCTTAGGTGTCTGTACAATTTTTATCAAATTTAAATTTGATGATGCCAAATGTTTCATCAAATCAAGACAAAAACAAGTTTTTCACTAAATTTGACGAAAGAAGGTTTTGGCAATAAGCTTGGAATTTATTTTATTTTATTTTAAAAAAAAAGGATGAAAAGTCATTATAAAATCAAGCTTTTTTTACTCAGTTTTTTATCCAAATCTGATGTAAGAAAAAAAAAATGAAGGATTGGAGATACTCTAAGGCGCCTTGGCGATACTCTAAGGCGCCTTGGCTCAGGCCGGCTTTGACATGAATTAGTACCAAACATGGATAATGGAGCACTAACTACTGAAACTCGCAACTGTAATTAACCAATTGATTTTGTAAAATCTAATTCCTTTGATTTTCTTAAAGATGTTCTTGCTCTTAAAATGAAAGTGTGGCCTATTGTTTATATATATATATATATAAGGGATGTGAGCCCACCCCGATGAGTGCTTAAAATCTAAATTTTAGTTTTGAATTAAAAACATATCTTCTATGATGTTTAAGGGATAAAAGTGTTTTTTATTATGTTAATAATCAATGGTCATAGATTCAGGTCTTGAATAACGACTATATTAGTCGATGTAGTTTCAATTTGAACAATTTCATAGAACAAGTTTAGTTCTATTTGATACTTCTATCTAAATTTTTATTAATTTTGTCTACATGTACCTCTTAGAAAATTGACAATTATTTAAAAATGATTAATTTTGACATTCAATTTATATAAAATGACCAAATTGAAATCTTAGAAAATTATTAATTTTAAACTCTAATTTGGCAAAAATTAACCAAATTGAAACTAAAATTATAAATATCAAATTGTTCAAATTAAAACTATAAGGGCTAAAGTAAATTTGAATCAAATTATAGGATTAAAAAGAGGAATTAACCCATATATATATATATAGAGAGAGAGAGAGAGGGAGAGAGAGAGAGAGAGAGAGAGAGAGAGACCTAACTTGTGTGGAGGAAGAGGGCTTATTGGCGGCAGAGCAGGTGACGGCGGCGTAGGGTGGTGGTGGTGGCTGCCTTGCGGTGCGAGGTAAGAGAAATGGTGTGGCATCACTATAACGAATTGGGCGGGAAGTGGAAAACCAGAATGAGTAGTTGTTGTAGTTGGGATGAAGATTAGAGCAGCAGCCGATTACATAGGAGGACAGCTGCATCATTACAACCCTGGAACGCCTCTTGCATAACCCACCCAATTTATGTCCCAAGAGTTTCCTAACCCGGTTGTAAGTACTCTATGCGCTTTGGATATTTGTATGATCATCATACTGCCACGGTGCACTTCCACCCTCATGTTTCCTCTTTTTAAGCCACTTTTTTTTGGGAAGTGGTGCTTTATTAACTTAAAGGAAAATGTTTCGTAACTCAAATTTTGTGGTTCAAAAGTGGTTCAAATGGCCAAAACGGTGGCCATTTTTATGTTATTTTGTACTCCAAACGACATCGTTTTGGTCATTTTTATGTTGTTCTGTACTCAAAACAACGTCATTTGGCCATTTAAGTCACTTTTGAGCCACAAAATTTGAGTTACATAGCATTGTCGTAACTTAAATTACATTACCTTACTCTTTAATTTGAAAAATGTTAGAGGTGTCAAAAGTTTTATTAAATATTTTATATAGATGTGAATTTTATATTTATATATAACTTGAGATATTTGGTAAAATATTTGATAAAAATTTTAGTATTCCTAATATTATTTTTTTTAAGTTTTGTACTTTTTTTTTAATAATTAAAAAGTCAAATTATTTTGCACTTCTCAAAACAATCCTAATTATACAGGACAAATAGCTTTCTTTTTTATTTTTCTTATTCACCCAAAAAATCATTTTTGTTCTTATAATTTTAATTGATTCAATTATAATCTTAAATTTACATATTTGTTTCAATTTCATCTTTCATTACAACTGTGAGTATTTTTTTTTTATTAAAAATACGTATATAAGCCCATATGTCATGTTTTTAGGAAAATATTATACACTCTATTTGGTTTCAGTTTTTAGAAATTTTTATTTTTTCATTTTCTGTATTTTTTGTTTTCACTAAATTTTTCTAATATTTTAAGCAAATTTTTTTTAATTTTTAGACACACCAAACATAAATACACTTAAAAAATATAATATTTGTGAAAAAAATTTTTAAAAAATTTACTAAATACCAAAAACACGAAAAAAAATATGAAAATTCAGTATATTTTTCATATTTTTGTGTATTTATTAATTTTTAAAATATTGTTTCACAAATATTTTACTATTTAGATACATTTAAGTAAGGTACATTTAAAAAAGTAAAAACAAAATTGCTTGAAATTTTAAAAATATTCACTAAAAACAAAAAAAAAAACAAAAAACAAAAAACTAAATTTCTAAAAAATTGAATTTAGAAAACTGAAACAAACACGTTGTATTTTTAAGACAATTGCAAAAACGAACCCCTGGGATTTGACCCTTATAACAAAATAAACTCTAAGATTTTAATTTTATCAATTTGAATCTTAATTTTTTAATTTGTTTTCAATCTTAACCATTTATCTATTTTTGTTAACTAAAATCGACAAAAAAATAGTATTTTACTTATTAAACTCAATGCATATATACATAAAATGTCTAAAATACTCATTTTCATTGAATTTAATAACTAAAATACCCAATTTTTCATCGATTTTTCTTAACAAAAATAGCAAATGGTTCAGATTGAAAACAAATCAAAAATTTAGGATTCAAATTGATAAAATTAAAAACTCAAGGTACTTTTTTTTTAATAATTAAAAAGTCAAATTATTTTGCACTTCTCAAAACAATCCTAATTATACAGGACAAATAGCTTTCTTTTTTATTTTTCTTATTCACCCAAAAAATCATTTTTGTTCTTATAATTTTAATTGATTCAATTATAATCTTAAATTTACATATTTGTTTCAATTTCATCTTTCATTACAACTGTGAGTATTTTTTTTTTATTAAACAAATTGCTTAAAATTTTAAAAATATTCTCAAAAAATAAAAAAAAAATTAAAAATTAAAAAAAAGAAAAAAAAAACTAAATTTCTAAAAAATTGAATTTAGAAAACTGAAACAAACACGTTGTATTTTTAAGACAATTGCAAAAACGAACCCCTGGGATTTGACCCTTATAACAAAATAAACTCTAAGATTTTAATTTTATCAATTTGAATCTTAATTTTTTAATTTGTTTTCAATCTTAACCATTTATCTATTTTTGTTAACTAAAATCGACAAAAAAATAGTATTTTACTTATTAAACTCAATGCATATATACATAAAATGTCTAAAATACTCATTTTCATTGAATTTAATAACTAAAATACCCAATTTTTCATCGATTTTTCTTAACAAAAATAGCAAATGGTTCAGATTGAAAACAAATCAAAAATTTAGGATTCAAATTGATAAAATTAAAAACTCAGGGTTCATTTTGTTAAAAAGGTCAAACCTTGGGATTTTTTTATAATTTCCCCTAAATTTTCTTAATTTAGTGAGTTAACATCAACTAACTCAATGATCATTTTCTGTCAAAAATCCTAATGACTTTATCAATTGGACTAAATTGAGAAAAAAAAATCTAAATTAAAGGTCAAAATTAAATTAATTGAAAGTATAGGGATGAAAATGATACAATGAATAAAGGATAAAAACTACAAGTGTAATTTTCCCTAATATATATCTACCTACATTATTATAAAAAGAAGGCTCAACTTGGTATTTATTTCTCTTTCTTTTTTTTTTCGTTTTTTTTTTTCAAATTATCCCTATAGCAATTAATGGGTAGTTATGCAGTTTTTTGTTTTTTTTTCCTCATAATCTCTCACTTTCAAATTGCAGATTTTGAATTTAATCATACAGTTTACAATTTTATTTTTCTAACATAAAATAATCATATGTGCATGCATTATAACAGCTTGGTTTAGACCCTGACACTTTTCATGTTCTTGGATCCGAGATCCGATACTTTTATTTTGTCTATACTCTATCTTATCTTGTTGATATTTAGATTTAGTTGCTTAGAGTTGTTGGTTGTGTGATGAACAGGTTGGGAGTTAGTTTTTCAAGAAAATTGTTGTCTATTTCTTTCTTGTTCACTTGACCGGTGGTTTGGTCGCTCGAGCGGTCTTTGGGTTCTTCCAGTATTTTTGCAAGTCTGCAAAAGTTCTGGGAGCAGGATGATCTTCACTCGAGCAATCTTCTACAGTTTGCAAACCTTCTAGGAGGGGGTTATTGTGCACTCGAGCCATGGTTTGGTCACTCGAGCGGTGGCACTTGCTGTGTCTGACGCTTGAGCGGCATTTTGATCGCTCGAGCAATTTGTGCATATATCAAATCGGGGAAAGGTCCCATTTTCTGTCACTTTTTATTTTCTCTCTCTCTATATATATATATATATATCTAAAACATACCAAAACCTAATTTATTCACCCTCTCTCTAGTTCTTCCTAAACACTCAAGTACACCCAAATCCATTGATCTTGTTGCCCTTGTGCTTTGGAGTAAACTGTAGAGCTCGTAAAGGTGAACATTTTAATCGAAGAAACTTCCATTTTTCACTCCGTCTAGAGCTTGGTCTTGCTCTCTTCTTCTTCTACTCTTAAGGTAGGGACTTCTTCAACCTCCTTGTATAAGCCTTAACTTAGTTATGTGCTCCTTGTAAAGTATTGTGATTTGGGAGTTAGGGTTTGATTTAGGGTTCGGTTTTGAAATACAAAAGACTGGTTTTCAAATGAGTTCTTGAGAAAAGATGTGGGAATGAATATATCATTGAGTTGTGTTGAAATATTGAAAAATTCTCCTTTAAATGTGTTTTTGAAAGAAAATGATGTTTTATTGGAAATCATTGGTGTTTGTCCTATGAATGAGGGGAAGATGTTGAGTTTTGAAAAGATAAAATGAATGAATCCGTTGATGATAAGAGTGGAGTTTGATATGTATTATCACTCCTATTTTGAGATTTTGAAATTATAATCATTGTTGGGAATTTATCTGTTGTACAAAGATATCTGTTTTGAGCTATCGGTGGAGGATAGCTTTGATTATTGTAGAAATTGTATGAGGATTAAGTTGATTGAAACCAACTACTTATACATCCTGCATTGAACATTGTTTCATATATAAACATTGAAAATATATCGTTTTGAGAAAAAAGGGTATATACCTTGGTAAATCTGGTTAGGGTGTGCGCTTGTGATTTTGTTATGTTGGCATGTGTGTCCTTAGTGGAAGTCCAGAAACCTGTGCTATTAGGTACCAATCCTTCTGGTTAGTACCGGTAAAATGACTTTGGTAGTACTTGTGTAGCCTACTGGTAAACACGTACTCAGAGATTTCTAGTGTTTTGTATCCACTGCCCTATTTTTTGATTTTGAAAAGTATTATTTTATGGATTGATATACATATAACTGAGACATTGCATTATTTTGAAAGAGAAAGTATAATGTTTTGGCAAATGGCATGCATATACATTCACCAAATGAGTTTGTTAAGCTTCATACATTATGTTCAAGTATCTATGTTGGGCTTTAGCTCACTTTATGCGAAAAATAACTTTCAGGTGCTGATGATATGCCTCCACTAAGGACGTAGCTTGAGAAGACCTTAAAGCCGAAAGCTTCTTTTTGTTCATTTATGTAAATACTTGTTGTACAAGCCTTGGGCTTTATATGTATTGTAAAGCCCCGAAATAAATGACAATAGCCCATATAATACGTTAGCTAAATAACAACACATGATGAAATGATTATCTTCTATTAATCCCAATTACTTGTACAGAAGGATAACATATGCAAGTATACATTTACAAGTCCAACCCTGAATCTATAGCATATATTACATGATAAGGAAATAGAATGAAGGTTAAACAAATAAAGAATGCCCTAAAGGCTTATAACTTTCCAAGACAGTGCTTGGTTACAATAAAATGGATTTAAATCCAATACAGTTAAAGCCTTAGGCTTGTACAAAATAAATAAAATAAAACAACCAAAATAAAGCTCTTGCTTCCAAGTCCTCCCAAGCTATTGTCTTGGTGGAGAAATATCATCAGCACCTAAAAATAGTTTTCCCACATAGGGTGAGCCAATGCCCAATAGAAATAATCCAACACAGCATATGAATCTTAACAAAGATATAAGGTGATATGCATATGCAATGCTCATGCCAAAACATTTTATATCACTTTCCCAAAATCATGCCATGCCAAGGTTATCACAATTATGAAATCATTTCCTTTCCAATAGAAAAC